TTGGGGTTCAGGGTTTGGGGTTTGGCATTTGGAGGCAGGGGTTTAGGGTTTAGGGTTTGGGGTTTGGGGTTTGGGGTTTAGGGGTTTGTTTAATTCAGGGCAGGGTTTAAGGGTGTAGGGTTTAGGAGTTTAAGGTTTAGGGCTTCAGGGGCTAGGGATTCGTGTGTTTAGAAATACTACTACGTATTTTTCCTCATCGATATCTACTTCAGCTTACATGCAGCTAGCTGCTTATTTCAGTTATAGCCTAATCTACCGCTATTCATTCGCAATGGACTTGCTCGCTTGCAAGCCTTCGCAGCTTCGGGCTAGCATGGAAGGCGGTAGATTGTGTTTAAACGGTTTGTGGCCGGTGCGGTGTCATGGTAAGCCCTACCAGAAACTCCCAACACCCTAGACCCTCTGCAGAGTCGACTGTTGAGCTGCTTACGGTTTGGGAGCTTGGTTTTGGAACATTACAGTATCGGGGATTGGGTTCTGCATGATTTGGGTAGGATAGTGGGAGGTTGGGCTTTTGATGCTGAGATCACACAATCCAGCAGTGGTCGACTTGGTCTTGTGCAAGCTGTACTAAGATTCGACAGGGATAACAGGACAACTACATGCAGGCTCGGTCAATATGCGATTATTCCGCCTTGCACTACTGGAGCACGAATGCGTAAGCAAATAGTGCACAACATCATGATGACGAGGTGATGTTCAGGGCACCTGGCTAGTGGTGATGGCTGCGATGGTGGTAGTCAAGGTAGTTGTAGCACAAGCATTTAGTAGTGGTAGTACTGTTGCTAGGGGCAGCGGCCGCAGCAGCGTGATGAGAACTGGCCTGAGGCCCTACAATTGGCAATCCGGACAACCTCAAGCCCCAAACCCAACATTCGACCCGGAATCCTCAGATGTGTGGCACATGCATCCGTTTAAAGCATAAACCGCAGAATTCGAAGGACGAGCGCCAACGCATAAAAGCCAGAAGATGCAAGCCACTACCTCGTGGTGTTTTCAGTACCTACTCAATTAGGCCTTAGGACTTGGGGCTTAGGGTATTTCATGGGGTCCTATGGTTTGGGATTACTGATCTTTCGGCCTTGGGGGTTATCATCGGTTCATTCCCTTCAGCTACAACTCTAAAAACATTCCAACACAGCCCCATCTCATGCCAGCCCTAAACCCTAAACCCTAAACCCTAAACCCTAAAACCCTAAAACCCTAAACCCTAAACCCTAAAACCCGAAACCTTTAAACCCTAAAGCCGACCCTAAACCCTGGACCCCAACCCTTGGGCCGCACAGCCTAAGCCCCAGCCCCAGAGACCCCGCACAAAGAGGTCTGCATCGTGGCTAGCACACTCGTGGGTACACCATCTATTCTGTATTCTATAACATAACCCCAAGCCCCAACCGAATTGTCAAAACTCCTATCTTAAACCGTTAAAAAGGCTGAGAAACACTCCTTGAAACCTAATTTCTCAATCATGAAGCCTCCTCGGACCCCTGGGCTTCCGAGCGGCGCTGAGGAGGCACTTGCTTGCTTCTCCACCCACTGGAAGCCGCTAGCCCGCACAGCCAAGGTCTGCCAGCCAGGTTTAGGGCTTTAGGGTTTTAGGGTTTTAGGGTTTAGGGTTTAGGGTTTAGGGTTTTGGGTTTTAAGGTTTAGGGTTTAGGGTTTGTGTATTTTTTTGAAGATGAGTCGTATTGCATACGACCTTGTGACACTTCTACGGCGGTCTGCAAAACTTGTATTGGCGGGGTGTTATCAAGGCTTTCTTAACGAAAGATAAGTACTCCACGAGGCTAAGGGGCTTTGAGAGCTTGTTACGAGCTTCGACTCGGGCTTTAGATTGCAGTCGCAGCGCGAAACTCCACTGGTTGGGATCTCCCGGTCTGGTGGATCAGTGCTTTAGGGTTGCGACAACGGCTACTAGAAGGTTTTCTACATAGGCTCTATGAGGTTTCGAAGAGGGGTGCCATCAAGACTACTAGTAACACAGTTTCGGGTGCAGGGTATAGCGAATAAGCGGTCGGGGTGTTGCCAAGGACCAAGAGTGACTGACAAGGATGCCTGGCATCTGGGAATTGTCATTGCAGCTCAAGCAAGGCAACCCCGCCGAAATCTAGAGCTCGAAGCCCTAAGCCCAGAAGCCACCCTGAACCCTAAACCCGAAGCCCTATTGCACAACAGACAAGCACGTCCTCTCCGTTGAGCATGCAACCCGAGGATCCCCCATACCCTGAATCTGGCCATTGGGGGTCTGGGGTTTAAGGGTATGAGGACTTAGGGTAATGGAGGTGCCTTCATTAGTAGAATAGGGTTTGGGTATTAGTATACCATAATCATAATAAGGAGCCGCCACCATAGCAATGTTAATTATGTAGGCCCCTAAATTATTAGGGTTGAGGGTTTTAGGGTACAGGGGAGTCTAGCTGCTTGTTGGTCGTGGGCCTGAATGGGTGGAGGTGGGGTCTCCCAGCGTCGCGTGGAGCCGCGACCTCTCCGGAAGAAGCTGAAGACTGTCCAGGACAGTGGCTCAAGTTTGGAAACTTTGAAGGTGCAGTGCTCAGGTTTAGGAAACTTTTGTAGGAGCAGGGTTAAAGGTTTGAAAGTTTAAGGGGAGTTCATGGATAGTCCGCTGTGCGGGTTCAGCAAACCATGCGCCGTTGCAGTTGCAATCCCTCCCTCTCCCTCTCTCTCTCTTTCTCCCTCTCTCTCTCTCTCTTTCTCTCTCTCTCTCTCTGTCTCTTTCTCTCTCTGCATGACGCTTACAAACTATATTGGGGCATGCCCGGGTCCTCTTTGCATGTTAAGTAGGGCCTGCAGGTGCTCTCTTTGTGGCTATGTGCGCTCTCTTTGTTGCTTGTACACTTCTCGGTTTGATGATGCCACGGCTCGAGGGTCGCCCATCGAACGGAACAGAGAGGGAACATAAGACATGTCACAAACGCACGACGAACCTCTCAGAGGGTTTGCTATAATTGCACCCGGATCACGACTACGATCCTGTGAATCAAGCTGTCGACTAGCGCTCGGAGTGTTGGACAGCGGTGTCGTCCCTAACAAAGGGTTCAGGGCTTGGGATAGGGGCTGAGTTGGGTTGGGTTGCTCTACACTGTGTGCTGGACAGCGTATGAATCAGGCTTATGAGCTGGAGGCCCTTACCCCTGACCACCATAGCTGATTCAACCACGCAAGCAGCCGTCAATCCAACCCAAACCCTAAACCCTAAACCCCTAAACCTGAACCCCTAACCCCTAAACCCTAAACCCCCAAACCCTAAACCCCTAAACCCTAATCCCTAATTAGGTCCTAATCGTGAGACCCAGGCCAGAGAGTCACATGTCTGGGCCTTGCTAAGTATCTTTTAGACAGAAGGTAGGGGCCTTGATAAGGGCCGGATAGGGCTTTGGGGTATATTATACTATAACTGTTAAAATAAGGAACCCCCAAAATGGTAGTGGTAAGTATTTAGCCACCTAAATTACCTGGACCCCTCAGGGTTCCTGCGGGGGCTTTAGAAGGGCTCTATGATAGGAGGTAGAAGGCTTTACCGGAACCCCAAAACAGTGTGCGGTATGGGGACTTCAGACCTTTGTAATGAACTTTCGACCTTCACTGCTTCACCGTGAACCTGAGCGTGCCCTGGGCACGGAAACGTTGAAACAAAAGTTGGAGCTTGAAACCTCCGTACCCCTGTGAGCGCCGCTAAAGCCCTGGACCCAGATCTTCTACCTTGAAACTTGGATCCAAATCCGGAAACAGATCACCCGACAACCTTAAGTTCTCAACTCTAAAACCCCAAACTCCCCAAACCCCCCCTCAGCCTCAGGCCCTACCCTAAACCCCCCTCAGCCTGAGGCCCTACCCTAAACCTTAAACTCGGTGTAGGGTTCAGGGTTTAAAGTTTAGGGTTTAGGATGTGTAGGGTAATAAGCTTAGTTCAAGGTCTAGGGTTGAACCCCCGGAACCAACTAATATAGGGGCCCTAATTACTTATATTATTTTGGTGGGTTCCTTAATATAACTATAGTATAACGTACAGGAATCAGGTTGTTGTTGCTTTAAGGAAGACGTGGCTCCCACTCTCCTTTGAATTTCCAGGGGCGGCATTAGCGTGTGATGAGGTCATAAGCGTAACCGTCTACTGCAGAGATACTGCAGATGCCCGGGCTAGCTTCTGATGTGCCGCATTTCAAATTATGGACTGTTTGCCTTGGTAAGATAAGCACAAAGAGCATGCTGCAAGTGAAGTGAAGCAAACTATAGATCCTCATCTGCGATCGGCAGCCCTTGCGCCGGCGCAGCTGGGACAGGCCGAGACAATCTGGACGCATACGCGGCAGATCCCTCTAGCACATGCTTGCACTAGCTTTGAGCGCAATGCGGAATTGGCTGTAAAGCCCCTGCGACCGGCACATGGGCATCAAACTGAATGACCCGGGACTGCATGTGCCGGACGTCTTCCCGCGTAACCGGCGACATGACGTCCCACGGGCCATCAAGTGGCGCAGTGAAGGCAGCACCACGGAGTCCACCGGAAGTCTGGATTTCCGTCGTGGTGTGCCTGGCTCACCTGGATCCTCAGCACCTGCCCAGCGAAATTTTCTTGAAAGTTACAGCTGGCACAGTTGGTGAGCGAGGAGGCCGTGGAGCGAACTCTGTTGGGCTGAATTCATCCCAATAGATGAACTGCATGCTCTTTTGTAGTCACCAAAGAACTGAGTGCCATGCTGGACCCTAGCGCAGGACAGAAGTCGACAGCTTTTCGGCTGAAGACGTTCGCTAAGGGGTCGAGCACCAACCTTTTGCCGGCATTGGTGACTCCTGCTATGAGGGGCACCCTTGCAGTCTTGCTAGGGCCATAGCATATCACCTGGGCTAAGCTGGCAGCCAGCGGCTCAGCGTCCACCGTTGCCCGATTTCTCTGAAAGAAGTCAGACACCGCCGCCCACCAGACACACTGTCCGGAGCACGTGCAACGGGAGCACTCTACTCAGCCCGAGCCACCCTCCTCTAAGAAGCAGCCCTTGGCCTCGTAGAGTCTCTGGCATCGTCTGGCCATGTCTTTGATGCTGCTGAGAAAGAACTCTTTGGGCAGGAGCGGATCGTGAGCTTCAAGCGCTTGGTGTGGGACGCATGTGTTTCCTTCTTGCCCTTGGGCCACTTGGTCTCCTGCTTGCGAAGCTTTTTGTTGGCCTCAGCCCAGATTGCATATAGTCGAGCACGGACAAGTCGGGACTTCACTTGGGGATTTGCAAGACATTCAAACCGGCTGCACGATTGGCATCGATGCCCTTGGCGGACTTGTACCCAGTTGGGTCGTTGTCATCCAAAATCGTGAACTTGTGCTTCCCGGGCGAGACTTTCGCCAAGTCCCGGGCGAGGACGTGATAGAAGCTTGCGGCAGCTTGGCCACTCCAGCGACCATCAACGACCTCGTGCACAGTCACTGCCTTGGCTTTCCCAATCCCCACATGTAATCGCTTCCCACTATTATTAA